AGAGAGAGAGAGAGAGAGAGAGAGAGAGAGAGAGAGAGAAAGAGAGAGAGAGCGCGTGCGTGTTAAGTCGATAGAACATGCAAACTATAAACGAATTGCTCCCATGTTTGAACGCTAGTGGCATTGCGTGGAGACAAAAACCGAAATCAGATGGCAGCACGATCGTGGGTGTCATATGTCAGCGCCCAAAAATGAAAATTTCGAAATTCTATTTTGTTTTATGACAAACGTGAACGCGTAATTATAGATATTTGTAGGTATGTGCTATTATTTATGAATCTACTGTCATAATATGCTCTCAAATTCTAGAGTAGAGTAGGCCTATCTCTTTAATTGTTTTTGCGTTTGTTGACAGAATGTAATCGTAGACCAGAGCACTCATAACTCCAGTTTGTGATGAAATAATGTAATTATACAAAAGTAGATGTTATAGCAGGTAATAGGTAAATCAATACAATCTATTTCATTGCTGGTCGGTTCATTTGTGTCGCGTTCGGCGTCATAACCACTCAAATATGTAATACTACGTGCTACCATCTCCATACGAAAATTGTACTACCGTTTTTATTAAAATTCTAATTTCGAAAATGACGATGTCACAGTAAATAGTGGCAGCAAATTTTTTTATTTCAATATGAAAACGCAGTTATCACGTGTGCATTATACGTCCTATTTGAGTTTGACGATATATGTATAATTATGTATAGTTCTCGTTGTTATTTAGGTAGTAGCGTTATTACGTACTTTAAGAAACACGTTTTTCTCAAATATGCTCATCGTATAATAAGATGTGATCCTGTAATCACCTCACAAACTTTTACGTTAAATCATTTGACCAATAGATGCCGCCACGAGCATAGCGATCAGCGCAAACGCAGCGCCGGTGGCGCTAGCGCCGTTGCAGAGCTCCGATTTGCAGTAGCAGACACTGCTGTCGCCGGCCTCTGTGCAGCCAACCTCGATGCCTGGAATTTCCAGGATGCAGTCCCGCTGCGCGCCAGCTGCAACGAACGAACAAACGCAGAGCCATGTTTTATGGTGTTCCAAAATTGCCATCGCGAGGCGTGCGGCTCTGCACGATTCAAATCGTCGCGCACGGTCTGATTGTACCTGGTACGCAGTTACACTGCTAATAAAGAAGAAGTCGCTTTACTAATAGCGAATACGTCACATTGTGGCTAGCTATCTCTCTCTCTTTCTCTCCATACACGCACGCACGCACGCACGCACGCCCGCACGCACGCACGCACGCACGCACACACTCTCTCTCTCTCTCTCTCTCTCTCTCTCTCTCTCTCTCTCTCTCCTCCTCTCCCTCTTCTAATCTCTCTCTCTCCTCTCTCTTTCTCTTTTCTCTCTCTCTGTTTGTCTGTCTGTCAGGTCTGTCTGTCTGTCTGTCTGTCTGTTCTGTTCTGTTCTGTCTGTCTGTCTTTCCTCTCTCCCTCTCTCTCTCTCTCTCTCTCTCTCTCTCTGTCTCTCGCTCCTCTCTCTCCTGTCCTCTTTGCTGTCCTGTCTCTCTACCTGTCTCTCTCTCTCTCGCGCGCGCGCGCTCTCTCTTAGTCTATGTTTATTTCCCCTCCATCTCTTTTTCCCTTCTCTCTCCCATAGCCTCTCTTTCTCTCTCTCTCTCTCTCTCTCGTTCTATCACTGTCTCTCTCTCTGTTTCTCTCTCTCTCTCTCGTTCTATCTCTGTCTCTCTCTCTCCCCCCTCTCTCACTCTCAGTTTCTTTCTTCCCTTCTCTCTCTCTCTCTCTCTCTCTCTCTTGCGCGCAATCGCGATCTCTCCTCTCTCTGTTTCTCTCTCCATCTCTCCAGTTCCTCTCTCTTTCTCCATCGCTACTTCGTCTCTTTTATCCCCACTTTCTCTCTCATGTTTCCCCGTTGCTTTCGCTCTCTCCTTCTCTTGAAATATAGCTTACCATCTTTCACTTGGAGTTTCAAGCACATTTCGCAGGCTGGTGCTCCAGTGACGCCAGCCACGGTTGAGATTTCAGTTCTTGTGTCTGAACCCGCAGTTGATTTGTAGCATTTCAGACCCATGGCTGTAAACAAAGCAAACACCCGAAATAAAAACGCGTCCATCTCATGGTGTAGGTAAAAGCGAGCAAGCTTCACGTAATATCGTAATACTATGTTCTATGCTCTAATCGTGTTCTGTAGCTCACCAGTAAAAAACATCGACGATATTATCGTCACTCTCGTCAATTTCTACCGGCACATAATCAGTCATAGTACGGTGATGCATTTTTGGTTACTCGTAGCAACGATGGAAAATCGCCTCTCTGCGTGGTTTCGATTAGAAAAGTCTGACTTTCTCGCAACTTATACACACGCGGATCGCTTTCATTATGCGGCTTAATTAATAGCCGCACATCTAAACACATCTACATCTTGAATGTCGTAGGGTATAAACATGAACACCCGGTTCTAAATGAAATGCGCAAACGATACGCTGGAAGCAAAGAAGCCAACATGGATAATAATTTCTCTTACCGAACGTGAGCAGGCCTAACCCGCAGACGATTGTTAGAATGAAGCGAGCCATCTTTTCGTCTGTCCGTGTACGAGTGGACGATGATGATGATGTATACTCTCCGCTAGAAAGGTTGCCCTGTTCTCCTCCGCTTCCAGTTCGACACTAACCGCCGGCTGGCGTATACCTCGTGCTATATCGGGCTTTTAGTGCGTGGGTGACCTCTGGTGGGACTTTGGCGCGCGTGGAGATCTGCATCGGTGGAATACTAGGAGCTAGGCGATGAGGAATGAACGCATCCTATGCGCGTGTTCATGTCCTGTGTCTAGATATGCCGGAAATCCCGGACATCCGCGTGTGTGTACGTTTGCACGTGCGTGTGCGTCACACGCGTCGTATACATACATATACCCATCTATATCTATGTACATACATATACCTAAGTCTTATCGCATCGACCATTAAAAACCAATATTAACATGCTAAATATTTGAAGAATTATATTTAATGCGTTCGTCTACATCAGGCGCTATATAACGGCATTAGATTGCTGTATAAAATTCTCAATCATGTGATCTTGTTTTCTCAATAAGCATGTACATAAGCATGTATGTTAACCGGAATGCTTCAACGCAGGCCAACTCCGAGTTGTCGCAATAAGTTTGTTTCTAGGAATCTAAGACCGTTAGATCCTAGTTGCGTTGCTACTATATAGGCGTTACTATTTAGCAGTGCATGTCGTTACATTATATTACTGTAAACAGGAAAGCGCGTTCATGTAGAAATGATGAAGAAGATTCAAACTTGTGTGGTAAACTGTACAACCTTTAATACTCATACCCTGTGTAGCCACATCATCAGACAATCGCACCTGTAAACAGACAAAGAACGCCGCACACGCGCGCATACGCGCGTGTGCTCACTCTCGCGCCTAGAACCAGAATCCCCTCCTCTCCTACATCTCTGTCTTATCTATTTCCCCCAAACTCCTACAAACATACTGCCCGCACATGTACCCGTTCTCACAGACTACGTCCTACCCCAATTTCACAGTGACCCTCTAATCTGTAACGCTAACCACGTTTACCATTCTCTTGCTAATACAACAATGTAGGCAATGACGCTCTGTTCTAACTAGCCATGGTCACCGTGTACAACAGATGTTAGCATTATCTCCTTTTCACCAAAAACGATGACTAGGGTAGTCCATCGACTCAGCGTCCTCGCTGCTTCTACACTTTAACCTGAACCTAATGGCCCTGTCACACATTGACGATTTAGCCAGCGTCTGCCGGACGTATAAAAAATTTGGTGGAAATACCTGGCGTATCGCTCGGAAAAGTTATGGTAAAGTTTTGGTAGATAAGTTAAGGGCGCGCTGAAGCACTTGCTTGAAGCAAGCTGAGCACGCTGAACACCGCTGGTATAACGTCGTAGTACGGCGAGGTCGTGCGAAAAATTTTGAGGCATCGCTCAAATTTTCCGACGTATGCAGCGTATGCCCATACGTCGCCGCATACGCGGGCCATAAGTTGTAAGTAATTATGCGATCTTTTTGGACCTGACCCGTTTTCACACACGGTTACTTATAAGGTTACTCATAAGTCGAAATACGTCGAGATAATGTCTAGCGTACCAAAACTTATTTCTAACTTATGAGTAACGTGCTTTGAAGCCTATGTGTATACTTATCTCCAAACGCATATTGACGTATGCAGAAGGTATTTGACGTGTTTCCGGACGACACAGAATTACTGAACGTGTTTCTAACATTAACAGCTAGCCTATAAATGGCGTATTGGGCAGCGTTTAGGGGAATTGGTATATAAAAATGGTATTGGCATGTTGATCTGCGACGAGTGATGTTGATACTGGTGATGACTAGTGCCGGTTATGATTTAATCGTCGAGGCAGGCAGCCTTTTTATAGGCTGCGACACGTGAACCGTCGGCGATACGCTACCGCGGCGCTATGCGCTAAGTTGTAGACTATCGTTTTGGGCATAAGTTGTGA